TTTTTTAAGTTTTCCAGCAAACAGCGTTATACCAAATCAGCGTTAATCGAGGACGACTGTAATAAGACATACATTTCTTAAGACATTTTCATAAACATTGTTCTAAAAACAGATTTACAATAGAGTTTTTATGAAGACGATATTCCAAGAAGAGTTTTAAATGTAAACAATTATAAAATTGTTACGACGTCCTCTTGAAGGTTAATTGCTCGAGAACAGAACTTATTGCGTATTGCATAGTATTAATACAATTATTATGATACAAATCATATAATTACCGAATTATTTATTTTATTATAGTACATTTTGACTAAAATTCTATTAACCAAAGTATTCCTATCTAGAGAATTAAATTTGTACAAAATCATTGTTACATTTACACACGATAATAAACAATTAATTAATTAAATAACAATGATTATTAAAAGATTTTTTTTGTGTTTAAACATCGAAAAAAAATAAAATTATTCTTCGCGATTTTTTTTTACATTTTTTTAATAAAACAAACAAATAATCACAGTGACGCAAAAATACTTGACACGTATGAACACCAAAGGCTGTTATGACAATTAAATATGTATGAGCAACATTTATTCATACAATGTCCTTCAATAATTACAATTCTAATATTTTTGCGAAATTAGTTCGGACAGTTTTACTTAAAAAAAAAGTTGATTAAAAAAAATATGTTTCTTAATTTGTTTGTATAATATAATCCAAATTAATGTTATTTTTTAAGAGTTTCTTTATTCTATTCTGATAATAAAATTCTATTCAATTTTTTTTTTATAGAAGACAATGAATAAAAGTTTTAAACTGATAAATAAATTGTTAATTGATCCTTGAAACATAATTACCTTTTTAAATTTACTGAGCTACCTTGATCGTGGAGATTCGTATCAATACAGCGTATTTAATTGTATATTCATTTGTTATTAATACTCTTGTATAACAATTAGTTTATTATTTGATACGACACGAGTGATCTGCACAAAAAGGTAATGAAACTGTTGTTTCCTGTCGTGTCATCATTCAATCAAAAGAATAATAAAATTTAGTTGTGTTTATTAAATAAACATCAACTAATTATTTTGAATTTATTGTCGTGTCCCGGGGATGGAATTCTGGAATATTGTCTGGTGTTTTCGTTGTGGAGTCTCAATAGTTGGGAAAGTAATGAAATTCGTTTGGTTTTACATAACTTTATTCGTTACTGGGTCGATTTAAGATTCATCTGAGAGTATGCTCATCATATTAACGTTTTACTGAAACTAATTCTACTTATAAAGTTAATTCTTATTAATACGGGGTGGGAGTTGTGATAGGGAGTAGGGTTTGTATATATTGATGATTAAGCGTTCCCACAGGATTCGGCCTTGGTGGTTTTGTTTATTATAAGACCGGGACAAAATCCTATGCGTTTGTTTATATGAAAAAGATGATCGATTACGCTTGTACGTGTAATGATCATTATGTGTTTATAATGTATATGTTTATATAATAATGCGACTAAGAGACGCCGTGGATGACTCTAGTTCGTTAATACACTGTATTAATATTAACAATTACAATATTAATGGTTGGACACAACAGTATTTCGTGTTGAACATAAATAATATTTACTACAATAATTCAGGAAACACTTGGATTTATTAATTTCCTGATTAAATAAAGGGTGTCCCGAAATTAACGCAAAATTTGAATTAAATAAAAAACAGTTTTTAGTCTTCAGATTGTGATTAAAACTGTGTTTTCTATTTAATTCAAATCTTGCGTTAATTTTGGGACACCTTTTATATAGAATTAAAAAGTAAAAATATTTGTTTAAGAATAATTTTATTATTATCATATTATAAATCTTTATGAATTCTCTGAAAATTTGCTTCAATGACTATTTTTTTAGAAGCTATGGTTACACTGTGGACATACAGTTTTTTTTATCTCAAGTCAAGATTGGAAATCCTGTATTCTTCACATGGGAAAATGCAAAACGTAAATTTTTGTCTTTCTTTCATATTCTCCGAAGATTTGATTGAATGACTAAATTTTGATCTTCTTTTAATAAACTATGTGAACATAGTGTTGTTTGTCTTGAAGTTTTTAGAAATTGGAACTCCTGTATTCTTCACAAATGCAAACTGTAAATTTTCATTTTTCTTTTGAATTATCTGAAGATTTGATTCATTGTTTAAATTTTGTTTTTCTTCTAGGAAGCTTTGGACATAGTGCTTCTTTTGTTATTGAAGTCTTTAGCAAAAAGTAAATTTGTATCTTGATTCCTTTAGAAAGATTCAATTCTATAAAGATAGGATAGCTTTTCTGAAACTTTATATACGAAAATAGAAAGGAAAAATTTTCTTTCACATCTTTAAAATTTTTCATATTTGCCTCCACGACTACAAAGTTGAGCAAAAAATAACTTTACATACATAATTATTGACCCTTTTACAATTTGCAAGGGCACAAACATTTATCTTATTACAAATCTCTCAACATAATCGTTTTTGGTTTGCATCGGTTTATATTTCTTACACTTTTAACAATATTATGGAGATAATTTCCGATGCAATTATTTATATTTGAAGTGTTTAGGATACTTAAGATTAAAATTTTAAACTATGGTTGTTAGTACATATATACAACTATTCCTATATTAGAGGGAACATTTGCGTGGGAAAAACCTTTATTTTATCTAAAATGCATTAAAAATATATTAGACCTCTAGGGCCTTATCAATTTTTGTATGTCAAAGTTGATCATAGAAACACACTTAGCTAGGATAAATAATATTATTCATTCGTTAATTATTCAAACTGTCAAACGTAAGGCGTTTTGATGTATATTTGGTTGCATAGAATAGAAGCAGAAGTTAACTACTATTTTCAGGGGCCTTAAATTATGCAATCAAATATACATAAACGCAAAAATCAAAGGATATTTTACTGAAACGTGCCAAGTTCTATAGAAATACAAAAAGTGCATCAAATTAATATTTTTGCTATTTACATGGAGGAGGCCCATTGAAGAAGTATAGATAATTTACTGACCAATAAATAGATAAAATTTCCAAGATGATCCAGATCCAATGCCTATATACTTAGAGTAGTTGAACGACGAGATCAAATACCAAATTCGAAATGGTTTCTTAAATGATGACTACAAATAGACAAATAGTCCTGATAAACTGGATGTTCGTAAATTTGGATTTCAAGTTTTTATCCGAAACATTCCATCTGTCTGTGTTCATTGTGGACAGATATTTGCAAACCAATAAGAACATTGTCCGCAAGAGGTTGCGAAAGATTTCTCAAAAAAATACACAAACAGGCTATATTCGCATAACGAACCCGTTGGCGATCAACTTTCTGGATAACGGCGTGACAACGAGAAGATTAAAGCGCTTCAAGCGCTTGGATCTCTAATTTAGATTTAAGTAAAGAATAAATAATTATTGTATACAAACGTTATGGATTGGTGCCACTGGGCAGCAACTTCCTAATGTCAACAGCGAACAGATTTGATAAATGTTCAGTAGAATAAATTGTAAATAAAAACTGACAAAAAAAATATCATTGCTATACTGTCGTGTCCCAGGGATGGATTTCTGGACACTGTGGAATATCTTCTTCTGTTGTGGAGCCTTAGGTTTGAAAAATAATAAATTGAACGAATTTTACTTTCGCTTTATTATTAAAATATTCGATACGACTTGATTCTTTAACTCTCTTCCTAAGACTAATTACAAATACTTATTCTACGTATAAATTAACTAAGCAAGAAGGTGGGAGTTTGAGGAATAAAGCACGGTTTTGATAAGCAGGTCACTGCTCCTATACGGATTTTGCCAATTCTACGTCTAATTCCCAATTGAAAATATGAGCGATCTTTTTATCAGTAGTTGGTCTCGATGAAACTGCCTATTCTGCATCTGGTTTCTCAGTTGAAAATAGGAAGGAATGTTACAATCGTTCTCACTGTGAAGGTTCCTTTATGCTGATGTATATGTTTATATAATAAGGCGACTAAGGCACGCCGTGGATGTCTCTAATACGTTAATACACTATATTAACAATAATAATTGTAATAATAACGGTTGGACACAACAATACAATAATCATTTAACTTCTAATTCGTCTCCTACTAAACTAAAATAAAAGTTAGACTTTTAAAAACAATAATTTTTCTTCATATGTTATAACTCTTTTTGCTATGCTATAACTAATAACTAAATATTCAAATTTATTTACAGTTATCGAAATTCAGGAGAAACTCTTGCTTTGTGATGAAAACCACATTTTCATTTTTACTTCAATTCTTCACTATTTAAGCCAGTCATAGAGAATTTCACGAAATCTTTTCATCATCATCATCTTTATGATATTTTTCCAGCAGATCAGAATAACTCAAAAGGTTTGTCAACTAGCAATTAATCAATGAACTGTTATAATTTTCATTGACAAGTTTTGAGATTCTGCAATTTCACCTTTATTTAGTGGAATGAGGTGGTACATTTAAAGAAAACCATGTAAAAACACCTTCTAATCAGAATTGCTCTAAAAACTACTATGTTATTTACCCAAAATATATGTATAATTTATATTTGTATCATGCTATATTCCTACAAATAATATAAGTATATAGAAAGTTTGCAACCAAATATTCACGAGTCCTATTAGATTACTTGGTTGGAGCATCTATATATTTTATGTAATTATTCTATAATCACTTGGGTTAATAGGTCATTAATTATTAAACTTAAAGACAAAAGTATAGCCTTTACAATGAGTTTAGTATTAGACTTCTAGTAATTCTCGTTTTCATGTTATTCAATATTTAATTGATCGTTTTAAAAAAATTAATTTTATAGTAATTTTTGTGTCTTAAACGATTCTGAAATTAAGAATCATAACTTATTATATTTTGGATTGAAAATGAAATACATTATGGAAATAAATTATTTATTTACAAGTTATTTACAATTCGGTTTTTTTTTTCGTACATCATAAAAATCCGTGACCTGCGACCGCCGCAGGAATGAAACCTTCGAGTCCTTCCTTCTTCTTGACCCAAAACCATCCCCTGTAGTGGGTACCGAGAAGAGCGACGACTTCTCCCTTGCACACGCTCAACGTCTTATCATTTTCCTTCTCGTAATCGCAGGAAATCACGAGTAAAGTCTGCCGAACGTCCATGGACTTTGAAGAAGCCGCAGCCCTGAGATACAGCCTATCCACGCTCCTCTCACCGCAAGTACTTGCTGCGTTTCGGGACCGTCTACTCCTACATCTGCTTCCGCTGCAATCGGACCTGGAGCTCAGTTTCTCAGTATCCGTCATGTTTCCAGATGGTCTAGGAAAAACGTCCGTGTTGTTTTCCCAACATGGTGAAGAGGAGTCATCAGAAGACGGGATAATACCTACAAAAGAAATATTTTACATTAGTGTTTCCCAAACTTTCCCATCAAAAACAAATAGCAACAAATGTAATGTTTCCATGGTAGCGTTCATTTTATGCTAAGTATGCCAATTTACAAAGCTATTTCCAGTCATCTAAACAGTTTCTAGGTTCGTCAAATCTATCATTAAGAAAAACTTGAAGTTTTAAGTTCAAGGAATCGGTTTATAATTTTCCCTCGAGATAGCCAACAAACATCAGTATGAAAAAGAAGCTGAGTATGACTACTTTCCCGTTTTCAGGCTTTCATGCAGAACTTTCTTTAGATCTTACGCCTTTCTGTATATTTACCAATGTCTTTCGCGTACCACACTTTGGGAAACACTGACTTAGTGGTTTGATCAAATAAAACGATTAGTACTTTCAAAGAGATTCAATTATAATTTAAATTAGGTTTATTAGATGTATTTGTAAAGATATTGATTACCTAACGGCATGCATGCTGCGTAGCTGATGTAACCTTCTTCGGCGTGCGGCGTCTGGATGTAAAGCCAATTCTGGTTTTTGAAGACGGCGTTCACGACCATTCCAAGTGGTAAGGATAATTCCGCCTGGTAGCCACCGATCCTAGTTTGGTATAGCACGCTAGGGAAGGCTAGAACCACGGGGATGTTGGCCGGTTTCTCAATTGACGCCTGAAACAATTGGAATAGAGTATGTAGTATATCGTATTCTGATAAAAATCCCGACAGTGTTAATTTACCG